TTAACCATTTCAGTGGAACATGGGGCATTTCTGATGGACATGTAGTTTCCAAATCTCCCTGTGCTGTTGGCCAAATATGCATTGAGTCTTTACTGATCAAGGGGGCTAGAACAAAAGATTGAATAGGGAAACTATATTGAGTTAAGTGCTTTCTTCCAAAACACATGACTTAAATATCTAGTAAAGACCTCTGTGAGTTGTGAAAACTGACTACATAGATGGCATCTATAAGCAAGAAAATTGGCCCATGTAAGTGTAGGTAAAATCTCAGAATTGTTGTAGTAGATAGTGGAATAAGAGAATAATAGATTCAAGAAGCAAATGTGCTGGACTAGATATATTATTTAAGATTATAAGACCCACCAGATGGCTATGCTGCATATGAAGGTCCAGAGAAGTACCCATTTACCAAAGCTAGGAAGAATGCACTGGTGAGAGAGGCAGGGCTATCATTAAAAGTGTTGGTATAGCTATCTTTTGTAAGTCAGTCTGAAGGTTGAAAGACTGGTACAGACCAAGGCTCACTGATAGTAATGTGCATTATGGAACTCTGAATCAGTAGAGGACAGAGAAGAGTCCTCTATTTTGGTGCAAGAAACGAGGGGATCACAATTATCTAATTATGTTAATGGCTTGTAGAGTAGGAGTGGCAGCCACATGGTTTTGATCCACAGGTAGTTAAGGAGATGGTTCATAGAACATATGCCACTAGAAACAAAATAGCTGGTCAGCTAACAAGAATACTGCCCATGCCACTGTAAAATGAAATAGAGAATGGAGGCCCAGGAGGCTGAAGGCAGTCATTGCAACAAAGACATTGTGGTCCCTTGCTCAGTTTGTGAACCTGAGTCACTTTTCAGATTCAGCATCTACTGCCATCTCCAGGAAGAAGGATGCAGCAACACCATGGAAAGTACACCATTAATGAATAGCCAGTACTTCCACAGAGAGATCCTGAGTAACTGCACAGGCAAAAGAAAATAAATATTTTGAGATCTGTAGGACACAAAGACTTAAAGCATCATTTTGGCTTCCCTGGTAATAAATGGAGTCCTGCCCCTGGGTCAGCTTACTGTGGATCCACTAGGGCCATGAATCCCTCAATGTATAATTGGGGTTGGCATACTTAGTATTTGACATAACTCTCACACTGATTCCTTGATCCATGGGTAAGATCTCTTACAGAACAGAAAGGCAAAGTGAAGACACTGAAACTGTCACTCTGCCAAGACAGTAAAGAGAAGCCAGTGCATCCTGGGGCAGATGGCTTAAATTAATAAGGATTTAAAAGACACAGAGATTATGGTCTCCATCATATTGTCATTTAATTCATCAATCTGGCTCCCCGAATAAACCAGATGGATCCTAGAGGCTATCACCAACTCAAACATGTAGCACCAATTGCTGTGCTAGATATATAGTCTTTGCTAGAATAGATTGTTACAGCCTGGGGTGTGAGAATCTTGAATTGATTTAACGTGTGCATTCTTTTTGTTATTATTAGAATAGAGAATTAGAAATAGTTCATATTTACATACAACAGGTAATAAAACACATTTACAGTTTTATCCCAGGTCTATATTACTTCTTCTGACCTCCAACATTTTATAGTACTAAGAGATCTGAACCATTTGGATATTCCACACAGCATCAGATTGACGATGTACTTACTACATTATACTAATTAAGCTGAGTAATCAAGAAATATTTAGCACAACCGAGACCCCAGTAAGACAAATGCACTCCACACAATGTGTGAAAAATCATATGAAATCGGGGGCTTGGGAAATTATATTTGGTGGAAGCAAATAGCATTTATCTTCTCAAATTCCATAATCACATAGATGATAAAAAGACATTCTTAAATTTGTAGGCAATAAACATATATTTGAAAAATTAAGTTTTAAGAGAGAATGTTTTATAAAGAAGCTAAAATAAGTAATTTGAAATCACAATATTTGCATAACTTGCTGTTGTTGTTCTAAAAAGAAATATTAAGATTTCATCTCTTTGGTTTTTAAATGAGTATCTATTAAATTACACATTATAATGACTTAGAGACAGACTCTTCTAGCAGTTGAATTTGATTGCTTGTGGTATTAATTAATGAATAAAATCAACTTTAAATTCCATATAATTATAATTGCTTGAAGGAATAACATTGTTAGAATTAAAGATTTTCCAAAAAGAAAATAATTAAACTGTTAAAATCTCTGGCAACGGGAATTAGCATAGTGAATTATTCTAACTTTGCTGGTATTATATAATTTGATAGCAGCTTTTATGCATGACAGAAATAATAGACCAATATGTGTAGAATATATATTTTTAAAAACCTAATTATTGTCAGTTTGATTAGTTAGGCTAATCACAGAAAACAATAAGGTTGATAATTTAAACTGAAAACAGTTCCCAAATAATTAATATTTTGCTTTCCAAAGTAGCTCTTTCCTGCAGATTTAACTTTCCAATTGTGTCCTTCTACCCTTAAGGTAAAATTAAATCTATTTTGGAATGGGTTTCAAATTACTTTACCATTATCACTTCCTCAATTTCTTTACTTAAAAATATATTTTTCTATTTACTTTATTGTTACCTATCTTCAAACATGCAGCATACTCTGCTTTTTGCCACATTTATCAGAATGTGCTTTTATCTTAATGTTAAAGCATACTTTAAAGACACTGATTTTCTATTACCCTTTTGATGGGCAAGAATCATCAAAATTTTTAGTAAAAAGAAAACAAGGAAATTACAGTATTGAAATATTAAGCATACATTAGTCTGTTCATGAAAATATAGAGCATTTAATTAATTTATTAGAATTTATTTAATTAATTTATTAGTAAATGTTACAAGGGTTATTTTTATGTTAATTTGTTAAGAAAATACTTTCAGCAATTGTTTTTATTTATTTATTCATTTTTATTTATACAAATTTATAGGACACAAATACAATTTTGTTACACACATAGATTGTGTGGTGGTCAAGTCAGGGCTTTTAAGGTATCCATCACTCAAATAAAGTATATTGTATTAATTAATAATTTCTTATCATCTTCCCCCCTCTACTTCCTCACCATTTGGGGTCTCCATTTGTTTATAATTCCATTCTCTTTATCCATATGTACACATTTTTTGCACTCACTTATGAATGAGAACATGAAATATTTCACCTTCTGTGTCTGTCTGGTTTCACTGAAGATAATGGCCTCCAGTTTCATCTTTGTTGCTGCAAGAGATAGGATTTTAATCCTTTTTATGGCTGAATATTATCCACTGTGTAAATACACCTCATTTTCTTTATCCTTTTCTCCATTGATTAGGTGGATTTTATACCTTTGCTATTGTAAATAGTATAATAAACATATAAGTGCAGGTATCTTTTCTGATATATTGATTTCTTTTTCTTTGGGTAGATACCTGGTGCTGAGATTGCTGGATTGAATGATAATTCTATTTTTAGTTCTTTGAGACATTTTCATATTGTTTTATACAGAGGTTGGACTAACTTACATTCCTACCAACATTATATAAGCGTTCCATTTCCAACACCTGTTATTTTTTATCTTTTTTATAGCCATTCTGACTGGTGTAATACATTATCTCATTGTGGTTTTAATTTACATTTCTCTGATTATTAGTGATGTTGAGTATTTTTTCATACACTTGTTGGCCATTTGCATGCCTTCTTTCGAAAGTATATATTAATATATCCTTTACCAACTTTTTAATGGATTATTGTTGTTTTTCTATTGAGTTGTTTAAATTCTTTGTATATTTTGGATATTAGTCCCTTGTTGGATGAGTAATTTACAAATATTTTCCCCATTCAAAAGGTTATCCCTTTACTCTGTCGATTGTTTCTTTTGCTGTGCAGAAGTTTTTTATTTTAATACAGTCCCTTATTTGTCTATTTTGGTTTTATTGCCTGTGCTTTCGATGTATTGGTCATAAACTCTTTGCTTTCACCAATGAGTAGAGAATTTTCCCTAAATTTTCTTCAAGTATTTTTGTAGTGTTGGGTCTTATGTTTATGCATTTAATTTATCTTGAATTGATTTTTATATATGGTGAGAGATAGGGGTTTAATTTTTTCTTCTGTATATGGGTATACACTTTTACCAGCACTATTTACAGAAAAGAGTGTTCTTTCTCCAGTGTGTGTTCTTATTGCCTTTGCTAACAATTAGTTGGCTGTAAGTATGTGACTATATTTCTGGGTTTTCTATTCTATTCCATTGATCTCTGTGTCAGTTTTCATACCAGTACCATGTTATGTTGATTACCATAGCCTTGTGTTATAATTTGAAGGCAAATAATGTGATGTATTCAGGTTTCTTTTCTTTTTGCTTGGATTACTTTGACTTTCAGGCTCTTTTTTGGTTCCATGTGAATTTTAGGATTCTCTTTCTAATTTTGTGAAAAATGATGCTGAAATTTTAATAGACATTTCATTGACTCTATTGATTGTTTTGACCGTATGGTTATTTTTTTTTTATTTTAGCGTATTATGGGGGTACAAATGTTAAGGTTATGTATATTGTCCATGCCCCCTACCCCCTCAAGTCAGAGCTTCAAGCGTGTCCATCCCTCAAATGTTGCACCTCTTTCTCGTTGTCAGAATTGAAAACATCAAAATATTTTGGACAGCATGTTTATTTCATGTTACATATTATAATATATAAAGTGTTGTAATGTATATGGACATTCTAATTTATATATGGAGTTTTCTAAATTAATATCAATTGATAAGTAGAAAAATGTTTTCTTATTGGATTCATTTGTAAACTGTGATCTGTAAACCATGAAACATTTGTTTGGAAACAGAACAAAGAGATGTAATCATATGAAATTATTCTCAAAACATAAAATGATTTCCTTAATAAAGTTATAATTGCCTTAAGTAATTTAGGTTCAATAAAATATAACTTTTAATAATAATAGTGCCAATTTCATTGTTAAATGGTTTTTTACTTTTCTCCCCTTTCTTACTGTAGGTGAATAAAAGAATCAATGACACCTCTTAAATTATCCTGGATATAGCTTGAGCCCATCCTTCGAAGTGAGGTTATCATAAGGATGGAAAAACATACACCACAGGTACCCACCATCAAATTGGTACTAACTGATCAACATTAAAGTGCTCACATGGTAATAATATTCATTGGGTGCCAGTCAAGTGGAGGGTATTGGGAAGGTAAACTCACAACTAATGGAAGTGGTGTGCATTGTATAGAAAAAAAATCAATGGGTCACATATTTTGCAGTGTATAGTATAAAAGCCCTGGACACATAAACTTTTTCAAAAAATTTTCTTTGTTTACAACCAATTATGTCTTCTGTTTACAAATTTCCTATTTCTGTACTTCAACAAAGTTAATTTAGAATATTTATGTTTGGCATGGTATAAATTATGATTTTGTGTTCTATGCTAAGATTTTTATTTACAAAGTAAAAGTAATTTATAAACATTACTTTACTCCCACTTATGGATGGCTGACTACTTCTTAATAGAAACAATATAAACTGGAACTGTTCTCAACTAATTATAGCTGTAGTACTTAAGAGGACTTAAGAGGCAAGGGAAAAGGACAGCTCAACACCTAGAATATGATTTTTCACAAAAGTGAGCTCTTATGGCAGTCTTGTAAATAAATACTTGTTGAAAATTCAGAATTTAAACAATTGTTGAATATTGTCATTGATTATAGAAAAATACACAAAGGACAATAAAATCAAGACCACTAACAATTTCAATTATAGAACCTATGAGAGTCTAAGAAAACTTACAGAAAACCTGAACTTTACAACTTTTTTGTTGTTCTTTTCTTGTTGTTTTTGCCATTTCCTTTTCTCCAAGTCCTGGTAGAACACTTCCCATTATTAAAAAAGCACCATTAGAATGACTGTTCTGTTACACAATGGACAGTTAAGACTCATAAAGCTGTTTTCAGTTGGCTTACAAATTAAGCAAAGCAAAATATTTCCAAGCAATAATATGCAAGAACATTTAGAAATCACTTCTCAAATCTGTTTACTTAAAAATGAGTTAATAAAAGGTTCACTACTTTTGCAGAATAAAATAATTTACAAATAAAAATGTGAAGCCTCTTTGAGATAGCACTCATTCTTTTATTTTCTTAGAACTGTGTAAGTCAGAATTTAAAAAATACTTTAATTCTACTATGTGCCTGAAATAGTTTTGGTCAAATTAAGCACACAGATTTTTCAGACATATATTGATAAAAATAATAGTTTTAAATAAATAATAAGGAAAAGGGTTTGTGATAAAAGCAGAAATTTTTCCTTTTTGTAAGTATTTATGTTTTTTCTAAATATTCTGCCAGCTTTGAACAATTAGTACAGATCTAATAAAAAATACAAAGTAACTGTTGTAGGAATTAAAGAAGTAAAGGTTATGGCAATGAGCTAGTCTTTACTCTTACAGAACAAATTAAATGAATGGACAATATGCCACTTCTTGCATTTTGATTCTACATTGTATTTCTTCATATACATTTTAACACAGCCTGAAGTCAAATAGGTAGGTCACTTGCTGAGTTACTTAGTTTCTGGTCCCTTAGCCACTAGGTCTTCCAATAATATGGTCCTTTCAAATGTTGCCTTTTTATTGATAGGTATATTGATTTCCTGATTAATGCACAACTCCTTTATTGAAATTTGCTACAGGAGACATAGTTTTAATGTTTGTATAATCAATTGTTTCATCAACACTAAAATTTCCTACTGTTAGATTCAATGGCTCTAACTATAAGAAATCATGTATTTCTTGATAAACACAAGAAAGACATTGTAAATATTAGTAAAGCAAAGAAAAAGGATTTTCTGTATGATGTTCTGTTGTATCTTACTCTCAAAGAAAAGAAAAAAATTCAAAAACAAAACAAAACAAAACAAAAAATCTTTAAAGTAATTCTCAATAGAGAAAGCAACCCAGCAGATGCTATATGTTTAAAGTTGAACAGAATATATGAAAACCAAGAATTTATACAATCCTCCTTTCCTAGTCTTTTTAATATGGATTATATAAATACATATTATAAAAAAATATAACATTCTAAATTTGTAAATGGTCCTAATCAGTTTAATTACAGTAAAGAAATTCTATGATAGTAATAGTACTTTCATAACATCTATACATTAAAAGAGATACCTCAGAGTGATTGCCTAAAATACAATTAAGTTTTACTTAAAAAGTTATAGTATATTTTAAAATTACCTGAATTTTTCTGAAAGTGTATGTTAGAAATCAAATGAATCATCAAGACCAAGTAGAGATTTATTCCAAGTATGCAAGGTTGATACGCCAGTGTAATACATCGATGGGCTAAAGAGTAAAACTCACATGATCCTATCAATTGATGATTATAAAAACACTTCACAAAATTCACCATCTGTTTTTGACTAAACATCTCAGCAAAGAACATCAACAAAAACTTACAACTGATATCATACTATATGATTAAAAAGCAGGGTACTTTTCATCTACGATCATGAACAAGGCATGGGCATCTACTATCATTCATCATAACTATTCAACATCATACTAAAAGTCCTAGACAGTAAAGAGTGGAAATAAAAAGAAATAAAAATTATACAGATTGGAAAAGAAGAAATAAAAATATTTTCGTTAACAAATGACATGATTGTCTATGCATTCATTTGTTAGGGCTGTCATACCAAAGTATCACAAACTGAAATTTAAACAACATATTTTCTAACAATACTGTAGGCTAGAAGTCCTAGATCAAGGTGTCAGCAGGATTGGTTTCTTCTGAGGGCTTACTATTGGCTTGTACATGGCCAATCTCCCCATGTCTCTTCACATGGTCTTCCTTCTATAGAAGGGAAGTGCCCAAATTCACTCTTCTTACAAGAACACCATTTTATTGGATTAGGATCACCCATGACTTCATTTTTAACTTAACTATCTCTTTAAAAAACCCCACTCAAAACACATTCATATTTTAAGGAACTAGAAATTAGGACTTCAACATATTAATTTTGGAAGGGATACAATTTATCTCATGACAGCCCAGGTAAGAAATTTCAAAGAATCTATAAACAACTCCTGGAATTAAAAGCAATGATAGTAAGTCACAGGATAAAATTTTAACATAGAATCAGTTGCTTTCCTGAATATCAGCAATAAATAGTTGGAGCTTGAATTGAAAAAGAAATACCATTTACAGTAACAAAGGTGAGTTGTAGATATATAACCAAAATTTGATCCATGAAAGAAATAAAATTAAATTGGACTTTATGAAAATTAAATGCTTTTGTTTTGCAAAATACACTGTTAAGAGAATGAAGTCAAGCCATAGAGAGAAAACATTTGCAAAACACTTATCTGATTAAGGCATATATCCAAAATATTAAAGAATTCTTAAAACTCAACAGTAAGAAAATAAAACAAAAAGCTATATAATGAAGAATAGATCTGACCAGACTTTTTTCCAATGAAAATATATAAATAAGCATATGAAAAATGTTTATGTCATTAAAGAAATGCAAATTACAACATATGAAATAGAACTAAATACCTATTAAAATGGCTTCAAAACTGACAATAGTAATTGCTGGCTAGTGTGGATGTGGAGGAGCAGGAACTTCCATTTATTGTTAGTGGGAATGCAAAACAGTACAACCATTTTTTAACGAAAGTTTAGTAGTATAGTGGTCAGATAAGTGCATTTAATCAGATAAGTGTTTTGTAAACTTGGTGTTGTAGGTATTTACTGAACTGATTTCAAAACACAAAAACCTCTATGTTAATATTCATAGCAGCTTTATTCATTATTGGCTAAAATGGAAGCAGCCAAAATATCCTACAATAGGTTATTAGATAAGAAACAGAGATATATCCACACAATGGAATATTATTTAACAATAAAATAAAATAGGAACGAGGTATCAAGCCATACAAAGACACAAATGAATTTTAAGTGCATATTGCTAAGTGAAAGAGCCCAGTCTGAAGAACTGTATTCTTTTCTTAAATTTCATTTGTATGACACTCTGAAAAAGGGAAAACTGTATAGATAGTGACTGGCTGGTCTGTGGTTGCCAGGAGTTTGGGGTGAAGGGTGAGTACTTAATTCATAGCAGATTTTTAACTATTCTGAGTGAAAGTATACTGGGTCATATTGTAATGGTGGATACACCACACTATCCTTTTGTCAAAACACATAGAAAACAAAGAATGAACCTTAATTATGCAAATTAAAGTGTATTAATATATGCACATTTTAAATATTATTTAGTAATCCAAATGGTCCCTGCATAAAATCCAGAATTCAACATAGTTATTTAACATATGTATAAAATAACTTCACTGAAGAGAGTGAAGAAAAAAGTTGTTGAGCAACTGGAAATGAGTAGATTCTGAAGACTAAATGTAAAATTCCCATGGGGCAAGGGTTAACAATTCTGATACCACTATTTATGTATATTGGACATGAACAGTTAAGTAAATGGATGTCATGTGATGGGAACCAGGCTTCTCCCTGTTGGAATAATAAGTTACAGATCACAAAGGTAGAGAAAGTTAAAATTATCCATGTGGTAAAGGATTAGATAGGAGACATTAGTATGAACTCATGCTTACTTTAATATAGATACAGACTCCTACATATAGGAATATTAATGGTATGTTTATATCCACAGTTTACTATACTCATATGTATTTCCCCTCTCTGTCAGCTCAGAGTAACTAGATACAAAGACACTACAGTAACAACAAATTCTGGTTTCTAATGTCATTTTCCAATAAGAGGAACCAGAGTTCCTAGGAGATAGGACTGATTATAGAACTGAGAAGGAAATATACAAGATTAGTCTGGAGCATCTTTCAGTGCCAGAAGACAAGGAAATACTCAAGTGTGCAGGCGTGCACATGCACACTTACAGAACTCACCCAAGAGCCATTGGAAACAGCCCTCAATGGCCAAAGCTGGAATAATTCAAACAACAAAAAGTATGAAACAGAAATGGATTACAATCCAAAGCTTAAAATAAATACCTATGAGTCTACATTGACAGAAATAAATGATTAAGTAAATAGA